TGTACAGTCTTAAACTGTACACGCTGTATATGGGTAGTGCTGATGCGGCAACTATGTCGCGTCGCGCGTTCGTAATTTAAGTATAAATAGTCATCGATTAAGTAAACTCAGTGTGTGCTAATAAACCAACGATAGAGAAAGGAATCGCCAACCTTCAACTTGTATAACTTAACTAATAAACGTATCATAAGTGATTCTTTCTCTTTGCACTCATCAACTCAACTGACTTAACTTCAAGAAGCAAACATCTTTACCAGCGAACCTAAGCAAGGTGTACCTAACCATACATTGATGATATACGAAAAGACAATTGCCCACAAACAGTAACTTTAGCCCACGATGTTCTCAATTTCCACCAATACATGTTCTATAAAGTGTGTGGCTGTATGTGTTGAGGTGTCCGGCTCCCCCAGGTGGTGCGGCGCGGCATCGTGTCCCCGGCGGGGGGCGAGGGCGCGGGCACGGCCGACGCCTGGCTCGCCCGGGGCTCCTACCGCCCGCCGCGCTGCTTCCTGCCTTATTTGGATGAAATTAAGGTACATTCTTATTTCACAGACTCAATTGTAACATTCTTTGACAACTGAACTTATAAGTATTTTCAACCGATTCTGTAAATTAATATCGATTTAAAGATTTTGAATTGAGACCGATTATTCATTTTGACTGTAAAAGAAGCTAGATTGAGCTAGATTAATTTATTCCAGGCGTTGTTAGAGGACCAGGCGGTGCCCGAGGCGGAGTTGGCTCGCGCTCGACGCGAACGATATCTGCATCGGATACCCGATACACTGTACATGGTAAGCACGTACATACGTATGTAGGGGGATAGAGGGGGGAGGGGGATAGACCGGATTGTAGTCTTGGATATTAGTTATTGTACTTGTAGAAATAGAAATAGTAATTTATTCGCAGGAACATGTGATACAATGGATCTTAGTTTAATTTTTTACAGTTCAGTGTATTCCACCTTTTCCAGGCATGCAAATGTTTATTTACAAGGTGCTTTATATAGAATTTAAATCCAATTTCATTTGATTAATTATTATGTAATGACAAAATAATGATTCCAAAATGTTAAATTAAATTTTTAAATACATGTCAAGGCGTCATTGTGTCTGTGGAATTACATGCCATAATATTAAAATTTATTTCTTTCTACAATTTCTATAAAACTATAAAAACATTTTTCTATTAGCCATGCTTTCAACTTAATTTTAGATTGACGCAAAGGTAGTTTTCTGATAGAGGCGGCGTTTTTTAGAGGCGATTGAGAGATTCATAAACATTTACGGGGGGACGGGGTAAGGGGATTTTGTTTTATTTACATTTTTCTTCTAGGGTGGAGTGGTAATGAATATTTTAGTTTTAGTTACTAGAGAGATACATACAGGTTAAATGTTTACAATTCGTAGTATACTAGGTCTATGCATGAAGCATTTATCTTTGTAATGTCTTTTTATACTTCGTTTTGGTTTCATTAAATGATGTTTAAGCATTGTTAATGTAATCGTGCAGGTGGCGGCGGCCCGCAACGGCGGGCGGTCCCCGCTGGGCGCGGCGGGCGCGGCGGAGGGCGCGGCGGGGGCGG